TACCATCGCTGGAGCAGAGGTATTTGTGGGCCTCTGCTTGAGGGTTGGTTCACCTTAGAGAAATGCAGTCCAGATGCACGTTTTTTTTTTTTACGTGTTCGTGCATTTTTATGCATTCCAGTTCATTTCCCCCCCCCCTCTTTTCCAATTTAAGTAGGGACATGTGCATTCCAGTACGTTTTTGGTACATTTTGATGCGTTCCAGTGTAGTTCTGTGCAGAAAAAAAAAAATGCAGCATGTTCTACTTTTTTTTCTGCAACCAGAACTGCAAGCACTGATGTGAACTATGACATTGACAACCATAACCTACTTTTTGTGCGTTTTGGATGCAGAGAAAAAAAAAAAATAGTGTGAACTTGCCCTTAAAGCTGGCCATACACTATACAATCTGATTGTACAATCTCCTTCAGCAAGCCTTTTTTGGCAACCAAAAGTACCATAACTGCTTGCTAAAAGCAGCACACAGAAATAGAGAAGAGCGACAGCAGAAGGAGTTATATGGAATGCACATTAGACCAGGGGTCTATAAATTTTCTAAACAAGGGGGCCAGTTTATTGCCTTTCAAACTTTAGGGGGGCTGGACTGTGGCCAGCAGGAGTGGAAATTTTCCTGGCATCAAAGCCACATTTTCGTATTAGGAGGGAGGAACAGTGTCCTATCAATGGGAGGAAGAGTGCCCCATTACTGCTGTCAATGAGAAAAATGGTGCCCCGTTGTTGGTGTCAGTGGTAGAACAGTGTCTTGTATTAGTGGGAGGAATAGTGCCCCAAGGGCCGGATAAAGGCAAGCAAAGGGCCACATCAGGCCCTAGGGCCACAGTTTGGAGACCAATGCATTAGACCATGGAATAAATTTGATTGGGGGAAAAAAATAAATATTAAAAGGGGAAGGCGTGGCTTTCTGTGTTGCCTGAAATTCAAATGTTCTCTTCTATATACATGAAGTCTGCACGCGGCATCAAAGCTACATCCATCCCCTTGGCACATGATCCTCTTCAGAAGCTTTCACAGCATTAATATTATTCCCATTTATACCCAAGTTTTTAGACTGGAGTGCATTTTATATTTCACCCAATGGAAGCTAGTTACTAGGAGAAAAAAGAAAAAAAATAATTCAGCATTATGCATGGAAGGCTACAGGGACCGAAATGCACAACTCTGCCCGCCAGAAGCTCACATGCTTTTTCAAGCAACACAACGCTCACCATTGAATGTAATGCCAATCTCAATACTGAGCATTGAAGCGTTTCAGGAAAACGCACTTCAGATCGCTCAGGTTTGAATGGGGTCCGGGGATGCAGACCCTAACACTGAGAACACTAAGGTGAGTATAATGAAAGCAAACCTTCCAATTGCAATAAAGGTTACTAATATTCATCTCTCAAAAAGGAGTTTCCCTTGAGCATATGTAAGTCTAGGTTCACTCCTAGGCAGGCTGCGTTTGAGGCATTTCTGTATTGCATTTTGTTTTGCACTTGAGTTTGATGAAGTTTTCTTTTTCTTGTTGCTAGGCAGATTTAAAACGCAAAACACATCAAAAACATGGTAAAAACACAATACATGGTTTTCTGCAGCATTTCATTGAAGTCTATAGAGCCAAAAATGCAATGTTTGGCATTTAATAAAAAGTCCCTGACCCTTTTCAAAAAACGCATCGGATAAAAACATGGAGACGTGAACATGTCCCATAGGAAATCATGTTAAATTGACTATACTGCGTTTCTGCAAAATGTGTCAGAAAATGCTTAGGTGTGAACAGTGTAAAGCCAGTTTTGGAAGGAGTTTATTTTTAATTTATTACAGGTACTGATATATTGTCATCAATTTATGCAGCACTTTACATATATATTGTACTTTCACACCAGTCCCTATCTTACATTCATACATACACACACTAGGGCCAATTTAGACCAGAGCCAATTAACCTACCAGCATGTCTTTGGAGTGTGGGAGGAAACTGGAGTACCCAGAGGAAACCCATGCAGGCAGAGGGAGAACATGTAAACTCCAAGTAGGTGGTGCCATGTCCATGTCAAGTTTTGTTTTTGCCAGCTGTGTTCTATTATGTTCCATTCATACCTGGCGCTTCTGGAAAAACGCAACAAAGTGCACAGAAAATGCATGTTTTTGCTGAGCATTTTGGAAATGACACCCCAAGTGCAGGTAGCAGGCGCGCGATTGCTGCACAACAAATACACTACAAAGGCCTCCGCAAAAGGCATATGCAACCAAATCAGGCTGTATACTGCGTCACATCAGAAATGTTACCCCCCAGTTGTGTTTGGTTGGTAGTACCACTTGCTGAATGCGACCCATTTAAGTGAATGGGACCGCGCCACAACTGCATCCAATGTGCACAATTGCGGAACTGTGTTGTAGGCTTCTTGGGGTTAAACCAGCTGGTAAAAATCCAACATATTATCTCGTCACCGCCCATGAATGCCCTCTGAAAAGTGATCAACCGCAGAATTGAGGGATTTGTCAATTGTTCCCACACACCCACTGGTCCTTAATAGGAAAGGTTAGTCCCAGCTGCTTGTAGTCATTCCAAAACCAAACTGCTACCATGTCAGGTCACATTTATCCTACAATGCACCCAAATATTACAATCATCCGATCGATCATTTGATGCGACTAATATGATCAAACTGAATAGGAATGGTAAACCACAGAGCCTCCAATCAATCCATCTAGCAAGCTTTTCATTGATCTTGACAAGTTGATCGGTCATGGCGGACTTTTATTAATCGTTCCTGATGGATCGAACAAACATCTATGTATGTCAGCCAACCGGTTTAAATTATATATTTTTTGTTTAGATTGTTTCTGATTGCATTTCCTGTTGATACCGTATGCGTTGCATTCTTTGATATTCTCATTGATGGCAAATCACTAGCTTGCAATCATTTGTACCAAGATCAATGTACAGCACATATGGCCATCAGAAGAGGGTAAAATCTAGCTGTTAGGGGGCCAGGGCCCTTGTCTTTCCCCCCACAGCACCTTGTGTGATCACACTATTCTACAATCTGTGGAGTTGAAGTTGACTCTATACAATGGATCTCTTCTATATAAAAGGATCTCTCTCCCTTCTTGGAGCCCCTCCAGTCCTGGCCTGGTGGGATGGGTCTACCTGTGATCCCGATCAGCCTGGAAATAGTCCATATTCTCTCCAGGAACCAGTCTATTAATAATGGAGAAGCTTTTGGAGCCCCATGGCTGTCCCAGATGAAAGCAGACTGAACTTTCCTCCCCACTGACCCCTCCAGCCTGGAGACTGAAGACTCCTCCAAGGACCACTTACCTTGTCCAGCTCACCTTTAGGCCAACCTGACCCCAGCTTGTTCTCTGGAATAAGGATCACATGGAAAAGCTGTAGAACAGAGCAGACACTAGGAAGGTGTAGGAGCCCAGCACACCCGCCCTGCTTTCAGGAACTGGGAGGAAACCTGCTGGGACTGCCCCAGGTCCTAAAGCTTGACTCATACAGCTGAGAGATCAGTACTTCAGGGACTGTGAGTGTAGGAGCGGCCATAGCCAATCCTCTGTACCTTCATAAACCTTTAGCTCCCTTCAGACTTGTGATACTGCTTCGACTGCTTTCACACTGATCAGTTTTTCTTTCATTTTTACACTAAAAAAAGGAAAAGGAAAATGCATGACCATTAAATCTTGAGGAACTCCTCACACTGGTCAGTCATTTTTGGTGCGGGTAAACAAAAAAAACACGCCAAAAACTCACCTCCTCATTGAAAATGCATCAAAACGCACCCAAGGTTGCATTTTTTGAGTCACAGGTCCTTTTTTCACAGGTGCAAAACGCATCAGAAAAGCAGCAAAAACGCATATGTGTTTCTACCGCATTTTTGCAACAGAAAGTGTGAAAATATCCTTACTGCTTTCTGAAAAGGGATATATAATGGATTGCGTTTCGGCCAGATTCTGCCCACAATTGTAAATGTGTGAAAAATGCACCTCAGTAGCTCCTGCGCCTTTTTTTGCCAGTAAACTAAACATGGTTTTTGTAGTGAGCGTTTTGACACATTTTCACTGAAGGAAACACAAGACTGCTACCTGTATTAGGAGTGCCGCTAAGAAAAAATGGCGCCCCATGTGCGATATGCATTTGGGAGCTTATTTTCACACATTTCTGGGAACACTGGCAGAAATGTGCATTCCTGGAGCGCTCAGGTGTTAATGCACCCTTAGAGGGCTGATAGGCATTCAGGAGGCTCGGCTCCACCTCCTGAATCCATTTTTTGTTTTATTTTTCTTACTTTTATTTTTAAATTGCCAAACAGTAATTGTACATTGCAGGACTGATCTGCAACTACGAGCTGAGCTCTCGGTCCGTGGTTGTGGTGTGGTCCATTGAACTCATTGCTGTGCCACCTGTCAAACTGTGCACCCCGAGTTAAAAATGCTGCAGCTGCCAACCAAAGCATCATGGCCACGACATGTGTACAGCCCTGTCCATCTGTATTGTTACAATTTGGGTAGGCAGCTGGGGGTGGGGGCAGTAAAATTACTGCTCAGCTGCCTGTTTTACTGCCCCTCCTTTCTGCCCATCTGAAAGACCCTTACTCTGGGTTCACACCTATTTGCATTTGATCCATTTCTGTAGTGCTTTTTTGTGGTGCGTTTTGTGTTTTTGCACGTGCGTTTTTGACACTTTTTTATGCGTTTTGCATTTTTTTTCTTGTTGCTAGGCAGCTTAAAATGCAAAACGCATCAAAAATCATAAAAATGCGGCAAAAAAAACGCAGCAAAAACACACTACATGCTTTTCTGCAGCATCTCCATTGAAGTCTATTGAACCAAAAATGCTACTTTTTGCATTTAAAAAAGTCCCTGACCCTTTCCAAAAAACGCACCGGGTGAAAATGCAGAGATGCAAACCTGTCCCATAGGAAATCATGTTAAACGGACTGTAGTGAGTTTCTGCAAAACACAAAACGCTGCGGAAAACGCTTTGGTGTGAACCTAGACAGTTTGGATGATTGACACATAGGCAGGGGCGGACTGACCATTTGGAAACTCGGGCACCTCCCGAGGGCCCGGGGTCAGTAGGGGGGCCCATGAGATGCCCCTGGTACCTTTTTCATAGGCTTTTTTGAGTTTGGGCAAGGACACAGGGGGCCCCATGATCCCCTATTGCCCGGGGACCCCATGAGTTGTCAGTCCGCCCCTGCACCTAGGCGAGCGTTAGCTTGCATTGCCACAGCCCATTCACAGCTGGATCCACACCTCTGCATTTTTCCGCATGCGGTGAAATAGGGGCACTAATGATTTTGGCCCATGTACACAGTAAACATAAGTTAGTTCTAATGAAGTAAAGCTCTCTGGCGGTGGCAGCGTTTGATACATATCGTACTTCTACTCAGGCAGCAGCCGCCTGTTGGCGAGGAACAGCTGGCACTGAGACTTGTAGTTCCACCTAATCAGATGTGCTACAGACTAATCCTGAATATATACAGCCTAGAAAAAAAAGATTACCAACATGCAACCTAACATCCATATGTGTCAAAACAAACAAAATATTTATAACAATAGACAGTCTCTGTGATGAACATAAACGACAAAGTATCCATTTAGTGAATAGAAGACCAATCCTCTTCACCCTTTCCAGCCTCAGTGGTTAAATCACCAAAGTGCAACCCATCACCAGCTCTCAGACAAACATTCACCAGCTGGGATTGCCCAAAAATAAGGAAAGCATGAAACATTGGATGGATGGATGTGTTACGGTATCTCCCACTTCAGCTCCTGCTCCGAATGACACTTCAGAACCGCAGTACAGAACAGCAGGGACTGGGAATGGGGTGTTAGTCCACCTTTTAATTTTTTCTGAAAAGGTGAACTAATGCAGGCCATAGACGGGTCGAAAATCGTCTGGAAAAAAAAAAATCGGATGATTTTCGCACTGTTAGTGGGTTAATTGGTCGGCCATTTTACGGGGTTTTGGCACATTTTTTTTATCGGTAAAGTTGGAAAACAATCGGCTGATTTTCCCGGCAATGATGGGCAAATCGGCCGATCGTTTTATTGATAAAAAATCTACGCATGAGCCGTGACCTGCAAGAAGAAGAAAAAGAAGAAGAAAGAAGAATTCCAGTCTGCTATTATATTTGACATGAAAAAGTATTGCGGTTGCAACAATGTATGTATTTGTATCTGAACAAAAACATTTGTATCCGAAATGGATACAAATGGATACATTGTTACAACCACAATACTTTTTCATGTCAAAAACATTTGTATCCGAAATGGATACAAATGGATACATTGTTACAACCGCAATACTTTTTCATGTTTGCAGAGAGCTCCGCTATTATATTTGACATGAAAAAGTATTGCGGTTGCAACAATGTATCCATTTGTATCTGAATAAAAACATTTGTATCCGAAATGGATACAAATGGATACATTGTTACAACCACAATACTTTTTCATGTCAAATATAACAGCGGAGCTCTCTGCAAGGGAAAGAAGTAATTAAATGCTGGCCGTAGACGGGACGAAACGTCGGCCTATTGAACGACCAATTTATTTATTTATTTTTTTTTAAAACAGCCGATTTTCGACCCGTCTATGGCCTGCATTACTCTTTAAATGTCACAGCAATGGGTGTTCCCATAGGAAGATTTAGGCCTCATGCACACAGGGCATTTTTGCAGCCACTTTTAGGGGTGTCAGGTGTTTATTTTTTTACAGCTTCCAAACGCCCCTCCATATTATCCTATGTGTCCATGCACACAGGCTTTTCAAAGCTTTTAGAGGCTAGGTGCGTTTAGCGCTTGAGTGTTAATTTGTTTCAATGGTCAGAATAAATTATTATTATTATTCTAGCCAATTAAATTAACTAGTGCTTGGCGCCTTTAAAACATGCCTAAATGCTTGTAAAAGCGTTACACACTTCTACAAGCGTCAGGCGTTTTTTCTGCCAAAACACTGCTGCCAAGAGGAGGAACATTTTTAAAACGTCCCATGTACATGAGGCCTCGACTCCTTCAACGCTTGAACTGGTGACCACTAAAACATTTTGGATTTCCCATCATTTTTAGCCCAGGTACCCATGGTCATCTGGACAAATAGAGAGGGTGAACTACCCAGTGGGGACCCAGGCAACAATAAAACAAAGCAGCTAGTGCATTATCTTTAGCATTTTATTAAAGGGCGATGGAAAACATAATATACTCACAAGCCAAGTAGACTGAAAACATACCACTTGCCCTCCATAGGATTTACCCCCCCCCCCCCCCCCCCCCCCCTTTCCTGACCAGGCCATTTTTTGCGATACAGCACTGCATTATTTTTATTTCTGAGAATTGTGCGGTCATGCAACACTGTACATAAATTAAATTTTTTTCACACAAATAGAGTTTTCTTTCGGTGGTATTTGATCACCTGTGCGGTTTTAATTTTATTGCGCTATAAACAAAAAAAGACCAACAATTTAAAACACAAACAAACAATATTTTTGACTTTTTGCTATAAAACATATCCAGTAAAACATTTAAAAAAAAAAAATCACATTTCGCCATGAATTTAGGTCAAAATATATTCTGCTTTATGTCTTTGCTAAAAAAAATCCCAATACGTGTAAATTAATTGATTTGCGTGAAAGTTATAGCGGCTACAAATGGCGGTATATATACTGGAATTTAAATTTTTTCATACTAGCAATGACAGTGATCAGCGACTTAGAACAGGACTACGGCAGGTATTCTGACACTGGGTGGGACCTGACTGACTGCCACTGACATCCCAATGAAATTAATACAGTGATCAGTTCTAATAAAAACTGTACTAATGGCACTGGGCAGGAAGGGGTTAACATCTGGGGGGATCAAAGGGTTAACTGTGTGCTGTTTTACATTATGTGCTGTGTGTATTTTAACTAGCGAGACATACTGTGCAGAGAAATACACAGCATCATGTCCTTGCTGGCAGGAGAGAGACCTGTGTTGTTTACACACAGGTCTCTCCCCTGTCAGTCCTATACGACAATCACCAGGTGCCAGCAGGGAATCTCTGGCCGGCACCCGGTGATTGACATCCCTAGCCACCAATGGCAGCGCGCGTGCCCCCTAACTGGAAATGCAAAGCACATGTATATACGTGATTTTGCACAGCCCTACTGCCCTGTAGCAGTAGTTCTACTATAGGGTGGCGGGAAAGCAGTTAAAAAGCACAAAATCCTGAGGTCCGCTCTCTGACTTCACCAGTAAAATGGATGACAATGCCAGCCTACACGTTTCAGGGAACTAGCTACCTTCTTCAGTGCAATAGTTTTCAAGCAACAATAAAAACATGACAGGGATTCTAGTTCTCTACTTCATCCAAAGCTCCATCCCAAAAAGCTTTGATTCTCCAAACTACACTTTTATAATGAAGAAGAATCAAGTGTATAAATATGACCCCTTGGTGGGCTCCAGCATATCAGACGAGTGTTGTTGTAGCCGATTTCATCCTATGGGCACCTTAGAATTCTGGTCTGTTAGTCCCTGACACATTGACACTGTAAAATACTGGAAAGTTACTTGATCAGTTTGTAACTTTGCAATAATGTAGTTAAAAAACAGAATGAGTGAGAAGTCAGAGGACATAGCCAGAGGTCATGGACAGTGTACAGTTCACATTGTTGGGATGTTTGTTTTGTGTGCAGCCTGTGAGTGGCATGGAAACCGGTGCAGAGTGAGCATGCGTGTACGGCGTCCAGGGTGGTGTGCTAATCTTCCTCTACTGCGTCCTTCCACCTTCAGGCTGGGTTCACACATATGCGGTGCAGTATATCGCATGTGATTCGCACAGGAACCGCACCGCATTCCTGTGCAAATCACATGTGATTTGTGTGTTGTGCGATTTGAGCCATACATTTTGTATGGCTCCAATCGCACCGCATCCGCACCAAAAAGATGCAGGACCCTTTTTTTGGTCCGCACTAGAATCGGATCGCATGGGTATGCACACCTATGTGATCAGAATGGGCACATCGCACCACATTTTGCAGACCGATTTCGGGGTGTTGTTAACATACACACCCGCAGCGGTTCGCATGAAACGGGAAGTGATTCTGATGTGCTGCAGAATTCATACAGAAAATGCTGTGAATTCCACACCGCACCAGTGTGTGAACCCAGGCTAATCAAAACTGAACCTAAACTTTGATCAATGATCTGATAAGGTGAAGTTTGGGTGAAAGAAATCTGCTCTTTTTTCCTCTTATTTGGGCTCCGGTGAATTTGAATTGCGGAAAAACACTTATGCACCATTATTCTTCAGCGTGTTTTGCTGTGATTGTCACACAACAGAAACGCGCTGCAATCACGGTAATACACACATTTAAAAATTGCGCAAGGCTCATCACACAAAAGGATTCATGAGCTTCTTTCACACGGTAAACACGCATAGGTCAGTCCATTCAAGTGAACATCCTATGTGCAACACGCAGAATCATGTGAACATCATGCAGCAGAAATCAAGAGTGGAAGCATCCGTTCCCACTACCCACTCCCACAGACAAGGACTAAAAGATGAAGAAGCTGCATGCTCAGTGAGTGTTTAAAAAAAACTGAGGATTTTTTTTATCATTTTAAGCTGGCCATACATGGTCCTGCTGGCACCACCAAAATTGTTGACCACCCAGTGACTGCATTGAATCAGCAGGTATTCCTACAGCTGTGGGTGCAATGGCTGTCTGAATACAAAAATCAGGGGGATTTCTTCATCAGTGTTGTTTGGTGTGAAATCTTAATGTGCAGGGCTGTGGTTACAAATCACGGGTTCCAGTAAAACCTACTTAACAGGCAAAAAGCAAGGGGTGGAGCCAGCACAAGTCTGATGGACACCTTCCTTGTTCCTAGCTGAACCCAGGCCCCTCTACTGACCCAGTGGTGCCCAGTATGGGAGGGCTGGCTGTACCCCCTTATCGGTGGCCCTACATATATGGCTAGGCTTATTGTCATCTTCATGTTTGTTGAATATTTCATGGGTAGATGTGGCACCAGCTACACCATGTAGCTAAGGTGTGACAGACCCTGGCCATTGTCCCTTAATGTTGTTTGTTTATTACCAGCCAGATTACCAGCCAGCATAAGAACGATACCTTGTGGAAGCCTTGGGATCACCAACTGTCCATATTGGAAGACACTTCTTTATTTCCAAGAAGATCTCATCCTGCAATCCTCAGATTATGAAACCCTTCAATAGTGGAGTCAATGCAGAACTTCTACTGAAAACCTATGGTAAAGCGTCGGTCAACCAAATCTGGTTATTCAGTTTTTAGTGGATGCTGGGGAATTCATCAATTTATCCTGTCTTTCAGGGACATCAGGCCACCATACCTGCTGGGGCCATTGTAAGGTGTTCTCAATCTCCTCACTGGAATATTTTATTTGTATTCTACAGTATATAGATGGGAGGAGCAGCAGCACACAAAAGGTGGATGGGAACACCTAAAACTCCAAAGAGAACAGGAGCATAGTCAGGAATTTTGTCAGGGAGAGCTCACTGTTGGAATATCCTACCCATAGCCATACCAAAATTTTACTGTTAGGTGGATATGGCCTTTAAGTTATTAGCGGACAACATGCTAAATTCCAACCCAATGCTTTATTTACACGGGAACATTGGCAACCCCAGTCAGGCATTACAGGGTGGTATTCAGCAGAACATCACAGCAGGTCAAACCTGGCCAGCCTACAGCACCCATATACAAAACAGGCTGACCTTCATGATATGGGGTTGGGTTATGGGTAATATGGAAGGGTTGAGGTTTAAATCAGAACTCCAGCCAAAGGTTACACAGATAAAATAACAAACCTAGCTTTTGCTATTCATCTTCGGCCCAGAGATTCTATCCGCAGAACTTTTTTTCTCCCACCACATGTCCTCATTCTAATAGCCAGCATCATTCAACCCACTTCCTCTGAGCCCAGGTTGTCTTGGTCCTGCCTCCAGCCTATGACTGGACAGTTAAAGAAGAAGCAGCACAGCGACATGCTCAACTCTGTGTCACTCTGTTCTCTCCTCCTATCAATATTCTTGTCAGCACATGAACCAATTGGCTCCTTATGCTGCTTCTTCCTCTCACACTTCAGCCTTGCTGTTCAGAGGCTGTAAGATACAAATGAAGGTATTTATACTGCTTAAATTAATACAGAGAACAGGGCTAACCTTTCCTAAAACATTCATCGGTGAAAAAAAAGATTAGCAACTATCTCCCAGCTTTCGATATACAACAGGTGCACTTTAAAATCAGCTCTGCCATACAGAACAACCGCTGTACAAGTCATCCTAAAGAGGAAGTTGCACCTTCTAGGCCTACAGGATATCTCCTCCTTGTCCTGGCACTGAAATTAATAGATTTATAATCACAAAATAAACACAGCGGACTTTGTACTTTGTATTTGCACACTTTTATTCTCTATAGCTACCTGCCAAAGTCAGGCATGCAATAGTGAATGTAGCTCAAATCTCTGTAAAGGCGTGGTTATTAAAGTGGATGTAAACCCTAATTGGATGACATTTTGTTTGCAAAAGCACTTTGTCTTGAAATAATTGCCTTATTTTTTTTTTTTTTTTATAAAATACTGTTGTTGCATCTCAGGCTGGATTCACATGTCAGCGACTTGCAACTTGAAGCTCGAAGCTTAAAAACTCAAGGAGGAAAAAAAAAACAATTATTCTCAATGGAGATGATTCACATCTCACTCCAAGTCTCCTGAAGCCAAACGCCGAAGCTCAAACAAGTTCTGGAGCTTTATTTGTCACTCAATTCCAGCAGATTTTCATGTTTTTGAGCCATTTTAATCCCATAAAAATGAGTGGAAACGTGCGATTTGTGCATTTTTAAAAAATAGTAATAATGTATGCATAATAAAATAAATACACAATTAAATTAAAATCATCATAAATAAAATAAAATAATAATATGTAACAATAAATAAATAGTAAATAACCCCTAAACTTAACCTCTAACCATAAAAAAAAAAATACATAAATTATTATTATTAATGATCATACTTTTTTTTGCTATTCGGCGCTGCACTATTGCAACTGGTAATTGTGCGGTCATGCAATGCTGTACCCAAACAAAATATATGTCCTTTTTTTCACAAATAGAGCTTTCTCTTGGTGGTATTTGATCACAGTACAGTAAATGTGGATTTGATCATGGGGTTTAAATGTCTCCTAAAGTGTTTTATCTGTAAAAGTGTGCTGTTTTTACTCACTGTGTGTTGATTCTTCTCTCTCTGGGATGGAATGTGCCCAGAGAGAGAAGATATCATTTCCTGTACCTGTATATCTGTAAACACAGGTACAGGAAGATCCCTGATAGGACAGTGATCAATCAGCCGACCATCACTGGCCTAAATTGGATGATTGATCCCTCGGGGATCAAATCACGGCACCTGGGGGTCGGTGGGGGTCCGCGCCCGCCCCCTCAGCCTGTGGGAGCGTGAATCACATATATACGTGATTTTGCGCACCTGTGCCACCCTGTAACAGTATTTCAACTGTAGGGCGGCGTGGAAGCCGTTAATTAATTTTTTTAAAGGTTAGGGGGTTATTATTTATTTATGATTACATATTATTTATTACATTTATTATTTTGTTATAATTATTAATTTTATTTTACATTTATTTATGTTTTATTATTAATGTTATTATTAAATAAATTAAATAAGCTAAGTAGTTAGCACTTCCACCTGGCAGTATTTAGGGACGTTGGTTCAAATCCCAGCCACGGCACCTCCTACCTGGAGTTTGCATGTTCTCCCTGTGCCTGCGTGGGTTTCCTCCAGGTACTCCGGGTTTCCTTCCACACTCCAAAGACATGCTGGTAGGTTAATTGGATCCTGACTAAATTGGCCCTAGTATGTGTATGTATGAATGTGAGTTAGGGACCTTA